ACTGCACCAGGGGTAATCATGCCCACGTGGGCACCAGGGTGTATACCTGGGCGCGGGTGGGTGGTCAGGGAGGGGTGGATGCCTCGCATGAAGGTGTTGTGAAGTCAGCAGCTATATAGGGGCATAGATTCTGCTACATGAAACATGCACATTTTTAGCATCACAAGAAAACAGTTTTGCTCATATACAGGACAGCTTTATTGCACATATTATGTAGAGTAGCTCATGCTTCCCAGGCATGTTTTTCTGCTATTCCCCATTCAAAATAGTCTTCAGGCAATAAGGAATTGTGAGAACCAGATAGCTATTATATAATGGGACCAGCCCAGCCCTTCTATTTAATGGGTGTTGCTCACTGAAAGTGTGTGGCTGACCAGTGTGTGTGTGTGTGTGTGTGTGTGTTTTGAATTTCTAACCCTTCCAAATGGCATTCTCTTGCCACTCTGTGTTTCTTGGCACAATGCCTTGAATTTGCTAAAAATGTTCACTAAGTAAAAAAACGCCATACTGGTAGTTTAAAAAAGAATACCAGACAATTAAAAATAGAACAGCAAATAAAAAATTCCCCCATTAGCACAACCATAGCATATAGATTTTCTAAATTTAAGGTTTTCTAAGTTTGCATTTTTCAAAGTTAAAAAAAAAAGTGCTATAATGCCTTACTTATTTATCCAGTGTGGTGTTTTGGGTTAGTAAATTTTCCAGATCACTTGTTACCTCTATTCCACGTCAAGAGGTGTTTCCTTTGTAATCATTTCTTTTTTATTTTATTTGTTACTGATTTCAGAGAGGAAGGGAAAGGGAGAGGGAGAGAGAAACATCAATGATGAGAGAGAATCATTGATCAGCTGCCTCCTGCACACCCCCTGCTGGGGATCGAGCCTGCAACCTGGGCACGCCCCCTACTGGGGATCAAGCCTGCAACCCTGACCTCTCCACTGGGAGCCCTTGGGCAAATTACTTAACTTCTCCAAGCTTCACCTTTTCATTAGTAAAATGAGCATCATCATAATATCTGTTTAATAAGGTCTTTTTGAGGTTTAAGTGAGATGATTCATGTCAAGAGCCCAGGATGGCGCCTGATATGTAATCAAGACTAAGTAAATGTTAACTATTTATTTCTATAGTTCAGAGACTTTTTCAAAGTTAAATTTATTGGTGTGACGTTGGTTAATAAGATTATATAAGTTTCAAGTGTACAATCCTATCATATACCATCAGTATATTGCATTGTGTGCTCACCACTCAAAATCCAGTCTGAGACTTTTAAAAAATTGTGTGTATAAGCAAATATTAATATCAGTATCTTTAAATGAGTAAGATCATACTAGGAAAATCAACTAATTCATTCAACTGTAGTAAAATTCTAATGCATTGTTATTGCAGAGTTTCCTATAGATGGTATTTTCTTACCAAAATATGAAAATGAAAACAATTCAGTATGGTCAGGATGCACTGTTAGCTGATAAAATCCTAAATACTTATTTTTTTAAAAAAGATAGACTTTCTTTTGTCATGCTAATTAATTGGTGAAAGTAAAGAAGCCCTTCCAATGAAGTCACTTTTGTGTTGTCTTTACATGAAATTGGGAAACTTATTCAGTATTTGCTATTTACTTCTGCTTATTCTAGAAATTCAGTATGAATAATCTTTCATTGTTTCAGAACATAAATTTAATAGTGTTCATTTAATGAAATGTGTGTTACCAGGTACATAGGACTTAGACAACGCCCTCTGGCTGAGCAAAGCCATGGTGCCTGTGTGTACAGCAGAGATAATACGCCAAGTTATAAACATGGCTTTCTGTGGCGAGCTAATGCTGGGTCTGAAATCGAGCGCTTGTGGTTTTCATTCGGTCCCCCAAGCTCTGCTCCTTCCCATGTTGCTATGGAGATTGTATTAAAAGCATTGACTTCGGTTTCCACCATAGCCTTTAAAGTACTTTTTTGGTAACTGAAAACCAAATACTTGAATCTCAGGACCTTATTGCTCAAAGTAAAATCAATATTTTTAATGTCATAAACTCTAAAAGGTCTTGGTAATCTTATTTTTTTCAGTTTTCTAATATAGTTAGGTCTGTTTGCATTGCTTGTCCTAAAATCATGTATTGTTTTAGCCAAACTCTACATTAATATGGACATCTGGCATTATTATGAAAGAACATATTGAATATTCTTCTAAAATACCACGTCCCTTACAAGTGTTAGTTCTAACCTAAATTAGTGCAGCGTGAAATAAAAAGAAATGACTGTAATTTCACATAAATGATAAATACCCAAACCTTTAAATATCTATAGCGGAGAAGAATGAGTAGTATATTGATAACTTTTGATCCTTATAGAGATAGAAGATTTTCATTCCCCAAACTTACTGTTCATTTAGTAAAATGAAAGACATCAACTTAGAGGATTCTTGATCAACATAACAACATGTATGTGGCTTTTCCCAGGCATGTATGATTCTCACAAGTTCTGTATTTCCCCAATCTGAAATCAGGCTACCGAAAGTTTTTCAAGGGTAGTGTATTAGTTTGCTAGAGATACCGCAACAAAATACCACATAACGGTGACCGAAACAACAGAAATCTGTAGTCTCACAGCTCTGAAGGCTGGAGGTCAGAAATCAAGGTGATGGCAGGATGGGTTCCTTCTGGAGGCTGTGAGGGAAGGACCTGCACACGGAATCTTCCCATGAGAGCCAGTTAACATACATGTAACGAGCAGATACAATGTTGTTAGAGGATTCTCCCCTAAGTTAGCAGTCCAAGAGCTGGCGGTTTTATCTGATCAACTCCATCTAATAAAGATTAATTTTCTTTTGGCTTGAATTCCTGTCTGAGTCAAAGATAGGCTTTTTGTTTCTAATGAGGAAGCTCATTTGCAGTGAAAATACCACGATTTTCGTGGACTCCTGTATGCGCCACCAACCTTCCTCGCTGTACAGTTGATCGCTTAGCTCCAAGGGTCTCCCCCAAAACGGTCACATCTCCAGTGCCAGGGTGTTGGCATTTTGAAGGACCACCCAACACACATCCCTCCTTAAGGCAGTAGACCTGGTGGTACACTGGTGACCACCATAACATGAATGCAGCAGGCACATACAGTGTGCTATTAGATGAGTCTCCCAATAGTAAATAGCACACAGACTTGGGGTTTCTTTGTAGCACAAACACGACTCCTCCAGGTGGCCCGCCCTCCCCCGCTTGAGCGTGCATCGTACGGAGTTAATGATGATCCAAAGGGCACCAGCCTCAGTGAGTAAAACCCACATCTCTGTAAGTTTGGATTCTTTTGCTTAGGACTTTTATTTTAAGCAGGTCCTTAAATGTTAAGTCGATACCCAAGTATTTCACTTTCTTTGTGTGATTGTAAATTATCTTACAGTTTTTAATTTCAACTTCTGTGCGTTCATTGTTAGTATATGAAAATATGGTTGATTTTTTTTTTAATTTTGATCTTACGTGCTTGAAACCGTGCTGAATTTGCTTGAGAGGCTAGAAGTGTTTTTGTAGATTCCTTGGCATTTTCTGTGTAGACGGCCATGTCATGCCATCTGACATTAGGAATAGTTTTATTTCTTCCTCTTTCATTGGCTTTTATTTTTCTTGCTTTATTGCAGTGGTTAGGACTTCCAGTACTATGTTGACTAAGGTGGTGAATGTAGACATCGCTACAAAGCACAATATTAGCAAGTCCTTTTTGTAGATTATGTTTATGAAATTGAAAAAGGTCCCCTCTATTTCTCGTTTGCTGGGTTTTTAGCGTGAGTCGATGTTATATTCTTTTCAGATGCTTTTCTCTGAGTCCGTTGATACCATACAAGTTTTTCTTTGTTAACCTGTTGATACGGTGGATCACATTGGCTTTCAAATATTGAACCCGCCTTACAGCCCGGCATAATTCCCGCTTGATGTCAGATGTTTTTGATTTGCTGAAGTTTCCGTTCCCATTGAGTTCATGTGAGGCTTTATCCTGTGAGACGGCCTCTTTCACCCCCGGGAACGTGCTCATTTGACCGGCGGGTCAGGAAAGGGCAGAGAACTGTGGTGTTTGATTGTCACGTGCGGAGTCTCTCCGCTGGTCTTTCTGTTACTGATTTCTAGTTTGATTCCACAACAGACAGAGAACATGCGCTGTGATTTTTACTTGCTTTAGACTTAAATGGCTCTTTATTCTCCAACTTCCTGGTGAAAACTCAGGTTACTGGCTTTAGAGCTTTTTTTTTTCTAATAAGTGTGTTTAGTGTTAGAAATTTCCCGTTAGTACTGCCTTTGCTGGGAAAAGGACCCTCAAACTCTATTTTTCAGATTTTTAAATTCCCTCTACAACCAATCTCTGTGACTACATTTATAGGGTAAATTCTTTAAAATTATGTTTTTCAGGCTCTCTGATGTGTGTGTGTGTGTGTGTGTGTGTGTGTGTGTTTTCTAGCTAAATTGGTGAGGTTTTCTGTTACATGATTTAAAAAAAATTTTTTTTTATTGATTTCAGAAAGGGAGGGCGAGGGAGATAGAGATAGAAACATCAGTGAGGAGAGAGAATCATTGATCGGCTGCCTCCTCCTCGCCCCTTCCTGGGGATGGAGCCCACAACCCAGGCATGTGCCCAGACCAGGAATTCAACCTGGTTCGTAGGTCGATGCTCAACCACTGAGCCACACCAGCCGGGCTGGGCGTCATGATTTTTATAACACATTTGAAATTCCGTCCTCCCACGTTGGTTCTAGTAAGCGGACTTCAGGCCGTAGCATGAAGAACACTTGCTTTTCATTTGCTGTTAACGGGGCGGGGGGGGGCGGGGGGTGATGTCATCTGAACGCTGCTAATAGGAGGAGCACAGACACGCCCCCCCTGATGCCGGGGCTCAGTGTTAAAAGGAAACGGACATTTCTGCTGCAGGCTGTGCGGACCATACCTAATCCTTTATTTTTAACAAAGAAAGACACCGTCTGTAACGGAAAGAATCCGCGCTTTCATCTCGATCTCACCGCGTCCCTCTCTCCCTTCTTTCTGCCTCCAGGAGGACCACTGTTAGCTTTGTGGCTTACTGCTGCTCCACCCAGTGTCTGCAGACTTTTGACCTTCTCAGTTGATAAACACTCAAGAGCCTCAGGAGGTTTGCCAGCCCGACAGCACAGCTGCCTGCGTGTCACAACGCTGTCTGAGCGGCGGCGGGACAGGGGCGCCAGCCAGGCCACACAGGCCCTCACATCCTGGCACGTCCGGTGAGGGGGGACCGCAGAACTCTCTGGAAGTGTTGTGATCGAGCTTCGGAGCTGAAAGGCCTCCCCGCTTCCCCCACGTTGGAATATATCCTGCCCCCAAATTAAGGACCCTTTGTCTCGTGTGTTTTTCTTGGTATGCAAGTGTCTCCGACGAAAACGGTTTGGTTTGATGTGCTTCTCCAAGTCTAATTGAAAGCAACCTGCAGCTCCCCAAAGAGCTGTGACTTGATAATATTGTCATGTGAACTCTTGAACATGTTCTAACTCAGTGATCCTCTTAATGTTCTCTTTCTTCCCCCCAGAGAGTAATTTCCCCCCATAGGTTGTTCTCTGTGTTCATAACAAATTTCAGGAAACTCCACCGCCTCAATGGTATGAATAGTGAGGGGTGTGGGGGGACCCCGAGTTGGCAGAGAAGTTAAACCCAGTGGAGATTCCGTATGCACCCTTTGCAAAGTTATAACCAAGTTTATCAGTTCTGCAACATGTTAAGGGACTTTTCTGAGGGATTTTAAAAATAAAAATGTAGACTATAAATAAAAATACACGTATTTTGAAAGACTATTTACAGGAAAATAATCATTGAAATGGTTGCTTTCCTGATAAGATTTTTTTAAAATATATTTTTTATTGATTTCAGAGTGGAAGGGAGAGGGAGAGGGAGAGAAACATCAATGATGAAAGAGAGGCATCAGTTGGCCACCTCCTGCCTGCCTCCTACTGGGGATGGAGCCCTCAATCCAGGCGTGTTTCCTGACCAGGAATCGAACCATGACCTGGTTCATAGGTTAACGCTCAACCATTGAGGCCACACAGGTCAGGCATATATCTTTAAATATTTTAACTACAGAGTGTTTTCTCTAAGTTGGGATGGAAAGGGGGGACCAAGAAGGTTTACTTGGTAGGAAAAGTATTTTCAAAAAAATGTCAGACTTGTCTAAAATTCCGTCTCTGGAACTTTGTTCGCTGCCCTAAATCTGTCTGGCTCGGCGCTAGCAGTGCTAAAAATCCTACCTAGTTACTGACAATCGTGTGATCTTTTCACAGTCACACCCCCCGCTGCCCGGAAAGCAGACTCTCCACGCAGAACGCTGAAGGCAGACCGTTACGTATGTCCCAGCTGCGCTTCCACTGTTCTCACCTCCCCTTGTCCCTTTCATGACTTGGCCTGTTCCGCCTTCAAAGGCGTAGCGTATAATAGATCCTGAAGGGCGACATCAAAACATAGCACTTCTTTCATCCTGCAGAATAATTGACGTGTTAGCGGGACCTCTCCGTGCCTATAGGGTGGCAGGTGAAAAATGTGGCGTGAACCCTAACAGGTGTGATTCCAGCCTACGTGGTGCTGCCTGTCACTTACATGACAGTAACTGTATCACAGCATCTTTCTCTTTCACCCTCCTGCAGTCATGTCTTAAAATGCCATGTGCTAACCTGATACTCAGGATGCTCACTGGGATGAGGATATGTGGTACTTTCATTTTTTTTTAAATGTAATTTTATTAATTTCAGAGCGGAAAGGAGAGAGAAAGAGAAACATCCATGATGAGAAAGAATCACGGATCAGCTGCCTCCTGCACACCCGACACTGGGGATGGAGCCCACAACCTGGGCATGTGCCCTGATCGGGAATCGAACTGTGACCTCCTAGTTCATAGGTCGACAATCACTGAGCCACTCAGGCCGGGCAATACTTTCAGCTTGTTTGAAAGTTTACAAAGACAGAATCCAAGTGTCCTCTCTGTACCTATTATAAACCACTAGAGGCCCGATGCATGAAATTCATGCAAGGGGCTCGGCTCTTGCAGCCCCAGCTTCGTCTGGAAGGTCGTCCAGAAGGACGTCCGGAAGGTCGTTCGGCTATCCAGTCTAATTAGCATATTACACTTTTATTATTATGGATGTGCATTGAGCACCAGCAGTGGGTAACCTTTGGGCAGACACAACTTCGACCCTCGTGCAGCACCCAGCTTGATTGATGGAAATGCAATTTATCATTTGGCCTCCCTGGTGCTGTTTATTATTTAAAAAAAAAGTTATACTAGATTCACTGATGTCATTCTTAAACTTTTGATATTATGTGAGAGCATTGGAGACGGGAGAAAGTTTGCCTACATGCTATATATTTTTGAGTTGTGTGCAGTACTTGGCAGAAAATTCTAAAGTTGTTATATCATGTCTTCTTGATTAACAGTTATGCTACGTAGAGAAATATTTCGTGCAGTCATAATAGTGCAAAAAAATAAGCGAGTCACTTGGAAAATAGTCTCTTCAGGTAAGTTTATATCAATAATCTGATGTGGTTCGTGGCAAATTTATAATCCAGAATCCCCTGTTTGGCAGGGGCCTTCTTATAACAGAATGTGAAAGACAGTCCATTTGAACTGGATTGTCCTGTCCATGCCATTCAAGATGCCTACTTGTTATACCAAATTCCCGGATGACAGAACATGGTGTGGATGAAATGTTGCCTCCTCCATGAATAAAAACATATATTTTGAGCACACGTAACAATTTTTTAAAAAATGATCAAGAAGCAAGAGAGCTCTGTCTCATGGAGGATCCACTCTGCTTAACAGAGAAGAGCGATAAACTCCATCACCCGGCCCTCCTCTTCCGTGAAGCAAGGCGCACTATCAGCATTTTTTGGTCGACTTGCTCAACACTCAACGCACAGCTTTCACACTCTGGCGTGTCCTCCTAGTTGAGCATACATCTCACTTTTCTTCCACATTTTGCATTATGAATTAAAATGTCTACGTCTAAGGATAAAGGCTTCCATGCCAATGGGCTTCTGAGGCTTTGAATGTCATGTCCCCTAAAATATATATTTTTTAATGTATATATGTGTGTGTGTATATATACACATTATATAATGTGTATATATATATACACATATATAATGTGTATATATATGTATATATATATGTATGTATTTTGGAATCACTGGAGACTCTCAAAGCTGGTTTTGAAAAGTATTAATAGTAAGATTAGGTTTCTGTGTCCTAGATTTAAAAATTCAGACATTTTTGTCTGTACTATGAAAATATAGTCGCTTCAGAAATCAAAATATTTGTATTCAGATGATTTATGGGCATGGATCACTAATGGGGTCAACAGTAATACAACCTGATGTAATGAAATGTTAAGATAAAAATTTATTCCACAGACTTGTAAATGCACTCTCTTTAGGAACCTTATTTTAAAATGTATTCTTATATCACTGGAGATATATATATATATATATATTATTGATTTCAGGGAGAGGGGGAGAGAGAGAGAAAAACATCCTACTGGCAACCCAGGGATGTGTCCTGACCAGGAATTAAACCATGGCCTCCTGGTTCATGGGTTGATGCTCAACCATTGAGCCACACTGGTCAGAAAAGGTTTGTTTCTTATAGCAATTTGGAGACTATAATAATTCAAGAGTAATTAATTAATTTCTCCTTTTTTTGTATACTGAAAGGATTTTTCTAAAAGTCAGAGTCTACATACTGAACAATGATGGCAACATTTATTTGAAGTGTGGACATTTTCTAAAGCTCATACTGTATCCAATTTGCTTGTCTATAGCTGTTATTTGAAGTGTGGACATTTTCTAAAGCTCATATCCAATTTGCTTGTCTATAGCTACTGCTGTTTATAGCACGGTTGAGCTTGAACCATGTGAATGCTTAGAAATGTCGATGGTGGTAGCTTTATTCTTTTAACCAGATGCATTTGGTTAAGAAAAATAAGAGGTTGTTAAATAGTTAAAGCCAGAAAAGAAAAGAAAAATGGTGAAGACATTAATAATGCTCCCTTTCACACCGCAAGGAGAAAATTGGCAAAAATTGGCAGAACCAACTCTTTTCAGAACGGTGGAAATTAACCAGAGGCCCGCGGCAATCCAAGGGCTACTTGAGAAATTGCTGAATCTCAGAACAGTAAGCTTGGTAGCATTTCAACTTGCCCTGTTTCCATTCCCTCCCACCCCTTTCCAGCTCTGTTGCACCCTGCAAACAACAGCCCACAATCGAGGTAGAAGCCACAGTGTAGAAGCCACTGGAGGGGTGAATGGGGTTGGAGCTTTCTCAAATTCTGATTCCCAGAGAATCATCTTGTTTGACTTGACTGGTGGCACCCTGGAAGACCTCACTTGCAAGTCTGTCTTTATTTTGCCTGATCAGAGTTTGTCAGATGTGAAAAGCTTTTTTCACAGGGACATCCATTGAAGAAGAAGAAAAATCAGAGGCAGTTGTGGCTGTCCGAAGCAGTGAATAAACATCGGAGCAAACAATAGGCTAACCAAAAACTTGAATGAGATATTTGTAGGGGGTTGGTACAGCTCTGATCTCCCTGGGATTTGCACGTGCAGGCATATGCATAGGGCTTGTCGCAAGCCAAGGGTGGCATGTCTGATGAGGAAAGGCCTGTGAGCATCATAATTTCTCACCTGACATTGACCTTGAGGATTTGCACAAGCGGAGAGTAGAGCATGAGGCAGAGCAGCCAACTTCCTGGCCGAGTGTTGAAGAGAGTTCCAACAGGCACACAAACCCCCACCCCCACCCCCACCCCCGAAGACTGGGGGAGTTACTGGACTCAGGTGACTAAGGAAATCCCTGTCCAATGATTAACTCACCACAGAACTATCTGAGAAAGACACCGGTGTCTGTGTATCACAAAGGAGGCAGGCTTTCCGGAATGACTTCAGATGAGTCACTCATCAGACAAAAACCAGCAACTACATCGAACCCTTGGCAAAGGGGGGAAGTCAATCTAATTTTCAGAGTTATTATTTGAAATACCCAGTTTTCCTAAAAACATTACAGACATACAAGGGAACAAGAAAATAGGTCCCATATTCAGGGAAAAAAGCTGTCAATCACCTGTACCTAAAGGAAGTCCAGAAATTGGACTTTGTAGACAACTTTAAATCAGCTATTTTTAGATATGTTCGGAGAACTAAAGTATCAAAATGATGCCTCACTAATCATTTATTAGTTAAAAGATAGAAGTTATTTTAAAATACAGAAATTCCAACGTTGAAATACAATAACTGAAATCAAAATTCCTGAGAGGTGCTCAGCCTCAGATTTGAGCCAGCAGAAGAAAGAATTCGCAAACTGGAATGTGGGTCAATTGACATTCTTTCATTGGAGGAACAGAAAGGAAAAGGGACCAGGGAAAATGAACAGAGCCTTAGACCTACGGGACACCATCAATTGTACAACATACGCATAATGGGAGCCCCATATGAGCAGAAGAGAAAGAATATTTTTAAAAATAATGGCGAGCCCTGGCTGGTGTCGCTCAGTGGTTAGAGTTTCAGCCCCCACACAAAGGGTCTGGGGTTCAACTCCTGCTCAAGGGTTGCAGGCTCACTTCCACCCCTAGACAGGATGTGTGCAGGAGGCAACCAGTCGATGAGTCTCTCTCATCGATGTTTCTCTCCTCTCCCTCCCACTGTTTTTGAAAAGCAATGGAAAAAAATATCCTCGGGTGAGGATTAACAACAATAAAAATGACTTTAAAACTTGATGAAAAGCTAATTTACATACCCACGAAAAGGTGCTCAAGCTCCTGTCATCAGGGAAGTGCAAATGAAAATGACAATGAATTCCACTTTACACTCACCAGAAGGAAACCGGTGGACAATAACAAGTGTTGACAAGGACATGAAGAATCCCAATTTCTGGTGGGACATATGAGCTATAAATACCAAGGCTGTCTCAACTGTTTTTTGAAAAACTGATTGGCAGTTTCTCAAAAGCTTAACCCTAGAGCTACCATACGACCCAGCAATTCCCCTTCTAGGTATCTGAGGGAATTGAAAACATGTCCATGCAAAAACAACAAACAAACAAACCCCCACAAAAGTTCATAATAGCCAAAAAGTAGAAACGACTCAAATGCCCACCCCTGGATGAATGGTTGAATACAATGTGGTATAACCATGATGGACTGTTATCAGCCATGAAAGGAAGGAAGTACTCACACATGCTACAACATGGATGAAACATGATGATGGAAGACAAACACAGAAGACCTCAAATTGTATGACTCCATGTACATGAGCTATCAAGAATAAGCAAATCTCTAGAAACGGTTGATAAGTAGATTCACAGTTGATAAGGGCTGCTGGGGGAGATGGGCAGAGAAAATGGGTAGTGACCGATGGGTATGGAGTTCCTTTTGGGGGTGATAAGAGTGATCATGAGTTCGATATTGGTGATAGTTGTCCGTCCTGGTGAATATACTAACCACTGAGTTGCACTCTTTAAAGAGGTGAATTTTATGGTATGTGAATTATATCTCAATTTTAAACAGGGGTGCACCTTATTTTATGTATCTGTTAATAAACTATTTTGGGCCCAGTCTCAGAGGTTGAGCGTCGGCCTAGGACCCAGGAGGTCATGGTTCGATTCCCAGTTGGGGCATGTGCCTGGGTTGCAGGCTCGATCCCCAGTAGGGGGCGTGCAGGAGGCAGACGATCCATGATTCTCTCTCATCATGGATGTTTCTCTCTTCCTCTCCCTTCCTCTCTGAAGTCAATAAAAATGTGAACTTTTAAAAAATAAATTATTCTGGGGTTGACCAACAACGCTTGCAGAAGCTATGAATGAAACTGCTCCCACTGACTGGGAAATAGATGGAAACTCAGTGTGAACAGCTCACCGGGTTTCAGAGTTTGTCCTCGCTGGTTAACACCAGCATCAGGCCAATATGCAGTAATTTAAAGATCCCAGATGTGAGGCTTCCAACTCACTTCACCCATTGATAGAAGTCCCCTCAAGGGCCAAGGCCCCCTGAAGGTAAAACATCATGAAATGAATGAATTTGCAAATATAATCAAGTGGAAGATCCTGGAAGGAACTAAGAGGTCGTGTTGGCTTTGTTCCTCGTGCGTAGCGCTGTTTGGTACCACTCATTCCCTAGAACAAAAATGTAAAGGGAGGTTATTATTTACTAAAGGTCCTATCTTTTCAGCATGATTATTAAATATTTGTGTTATTTTTATCAGGTATTCCAAACATACCTCAATTCAAGGCTTTCCATAATTTTCTGAAACTGATCAAAGTAACTATTACAATATATTAGCCAAACAATCACACCCTCTTTGTAGGTGTGCAGTCAAATTTGGTCAGTAGATCAAAAAACGACAGCTAGATTTTAAATAAAATGCAGGGACGTAAGAATTGTATAGTAGTTATATCTTGCTCTCTTCAGGTATTATGTTCTTTATTTTCAGTTCTTTGGGCTGGTAAAAAAAATTTTAAGAGAAAAATATAAAAACTAGTTGTAATATTATTAGTATGACCTTCTATTCAAAATAATCCAGCTAAAACATTATTATTTTTTATTGCTTTCAGAGAAGAAGGGAGAGAGAGATAGAAACATCAAAGATGAGAGAGAATCATTGATGGGCTGCCTCCTGCATGCCCCCTACTGGATATTGAGCCCACAACCAGGCATGTGCCCTGACCAGGAATCGAACCCATGACCCTTTGGTCCTAACCACTGAGCCCCAGCCAGGGCAGTATGGCATATATTTTTAAATCAACAACAAAAAAATGAGCCGGGATTTGATCAATTAAGTTTCTGTTTAATATTAAATTCACAACATTGATTTACAGATTCACAGCCAAAATATGTATAGTTAACATAGTCGTCTGGGGTCCCTACAAAAATAAGATATGGGAGGGAGCTCTGAAACAAGAACGTGTTCGTGCCAAGGAGAAAATGGCAAGGACAGGGGGTGGGGAGCCAAGGAGAGGCCCGAGTCAGCAGCTCAAGAGCAAGCCGCACCCTTTGGGGGAGTTTTCGTGGCTCACATCCAAGTGGCCAGCCAACTCTGCAGACTGAAGCAGTGTGGAGAGTAAGGAGGTTAGAGCCAGAAGAAAAGAAGAGGGGGTGGGCGATGAAAAACACCCCCTTCCTGAAACAAAAACGAACCTACTTTTACCAGGACCTGTGCCCGCTTTAGCAATGTGCACCCGCTCAGGGCAAGAGAACCTGAATGTGAGGAGGGAAATGTGTGACCTTGACAGTAGTGTCAGTGTGCTCTGCCTCTAGCCATCCACAGTCCTCTTAGGTCATCCCAGTGCCCTGATTGTGCTGGTACCAGGCGCCCTCCTCCAGGCAGGCAGCCGAGATTGCTTATAGGCGAGAGGGTGGGAGCCCTGGAGGATGATGTCTTGATGACGATGGCGGCTGCGGTTCTTCTGAAGAGGAATTTAAGTGCAATATTTAGGAAACCTAGACTAATCGTGAGCAGTTCTCTGTTTACCCCATAGGAGGCTACGCTGGTTCCCTGAGGATGAAGGGAGGCCCTCAGTGAGTAAGTTTCAGAAGAAATGGGTGCATGAGCCTCTACCCAAGACCCCCAGATCTGCTGCGTTTGGCAGAGGACACGCCGTGGGGAAAGACGGCAGCTCGCTCTAAAGGTAAACACGGTAGGAGAGATTAAGGGGCAGAATCACCTGATAGCACACGTATCAAAAAAGAAAGCAAGAAATGACTTGATTTTTTGCCCGTGCCTGTGGCCACCTCGAGGAGCTGCCTTCGCACGCCACCTTCCTTTGGGACAGTCCTCCCCAGTCCGTATCTTTGTGTGGATCTCACTCAGGTATCTGAGTTGGCAAACTCATCTCGGGGGGGATGGGGAAATTCCTTAAATAGAATTCATCACGCCCTGCCCCGCCTCGCCCGCGGGTTTCTCACAGGCTCCTTCCCAGCCCCTTTGCCAAAGTGTAAATTGGCGCAGACGTGGCTCATTTCTACTTCAGGTGGTTAACTCTGGTTGTTTTTTTATTTTATTTTATTAGATGATGTCCATTATTCGTATGTAAACGTGTTAGTGGTCTTACCCAGGAGTTGTAGTTTCTATACTATTCAAACAACATTTCCCACATTATTACAATCATCTTGGTTCTGCGTGTGTATAAAGAACTGTCTAGAGAAATCTGAAGGTTTCATTTGGTTCATGTTTTCCACTGGAGTCTGAAGGAGCCGGTCTAACTAAGAGCCTTCATTTGAAAACATGCCATCTCGTACTTGGTCATCACGAGGTGCTGACACACCACCCGTCCTCTTCCCAGCTTTAGTTCAATGGTTACTATCTTTTTCTGTTTAATCCTTACTCAAAAGAGTGATAATATCCTCCCCCCCCCCATAGATTTTTAGAGAGAGTGGAAGGGAGGAGGGAGAGGGGGAGAGAGAGAGAGAGAGAGGGAGAGAGAAACATCAATCTGAGAAAGACACATTGATTGGTTGCCTCCCACACGCGTCCCAGGGCAGGTCTCAAACCTGCAACCCAGGTACGTGCCCTTGACCAGAATCAAACCCAGGACCCTCCCATACTCAGGCTGACACTCTAACTACTGAGCCACACTGACCAAGGGCAACTGCCATCTTTTTTAACACGCAGCTTCCTCATAACAAAACTTTTTCATGTGAGGGTTACTATTTGCAGTGACATTCAAGCCACTGACCTCAAAGTGATAATCCGGGTTCCTCTCAATAAAAGAAAAAATTCCAAATGAAACGGCAATTCAGGAGGGGAGCTCACCCAGACCAGCAAAAGCAGAGGGAGTTGGAAACGACATTCAGTGCTGCCAAGTGCGCAAAGTGTCATTAAAATGGTCCTCCCAGCCCTAGCCAGTGTTGCTCAGTGCATAGAAATCCAGCCTGGGACTGAAGGGTCCTGGGTTCGATTCTGGTCAAGGGCACATGCCCAGGTTGCAGGCTCCAACCCCAGTAGGGGGCGTGCAGGAGGCAGCCTATCCATGATTCTCTCTCATCATGGGTGTTTCTCTCTCTCCCTCCCTCTCCCTTCCTCTCTGAAATCAATAAAAATTTTTAAAAAGCTCATTAAAAAAAAAGCAACTATCCTTCCAACCCTACCCCATCTTGTCCTTAGAAAGAAAGAACTCGGGGTGTAAGTAACAAATGAATAGAATAAATACACATAAATACGATAGTTAACGATGTGTGTAAAAACAACGGGTCGTACTTTATTGTTTTATTTTTAAAAATATTTTTATTGAATTCAGCAAGGAAGAAAGAGGGAAAGATAGAAACGTCAATGATGAGAATCATGGATTGGCTGCCTCTTGCACGCCCCCTACTGGGGATCCAGCCCACAACCCGGGCATGTGCCCTCAACTGGAATTCAACCAGGGACCCTTCAGTCTGCAGGCCGATGCTCTATCCACTGAGCCAAACCGGCTAGGGCAACGGGTCATACTTTTAGACTTGGGGAGTCCATTCTTTAGCTCCCTTGTTTTTTGGTTGCGTTTGTTCTTTTTTAATAAAATTTTTTTTTTTACTTCAGAGAGGCAGGGAGAGGGAGAGAGAGAAACATCAATGATGAGAGAGAGAATCATCGATTGGCACACACCCCCATTGGGGATTGAGCCCGCAACCCGGGCATGTACCCTGACCGGGAACCGAACTGTGACCTCCTAGTTCATAGGTTGATGCTCAACCACTGAGCAACACCGGCCGGGCTCTTTTGTTCCATTTTGCCCCGTGGAGCAGTTTGAGAATCTGCAGACATGTATCCGTTACATGGAATCGCCACTTCAATTCTAAAAATACTCTCCCGCTACTAAACTCAATTAAAAAGAAGTGCAGTCGGAAAGCTTAATTAAGCTTTCTAGGTTGTTAAAACTCTGCTTCCAGAAAAAGAAAAAAAAAAACCACTATGCTATTCTCAGAGTCCCACAGTCCGATTGCGAGAAACAGCCAACGTATTATCCTTCAGGAAAGGTTGGTTTCTCTCCCTTGCTTAGGACCAGGCCATCGGATGGGGTTTCCATTGAGCCAACCCAAGGCTGCTGGGCTGCTGGTGAGAACGTTCTGGCAGTGACATCAGCCCCAGGAGAGGGGAGTTGACGGGAGGCCAGATTCCCTCAGGAAATTTGGGGCGAGTTGAAACCTCCCTTCCCCACCTCGCTTTGATGATGGCGACTGATAATGTCTTCATTTCTCAGCACCTGGTGCTAACAGCGCAGGCCGCAGGCCTCACAGCGCCCCAACAGCAGCAGAGCATGTACTGAAGCGTCCGTCACCCGCAGACGGGCCGTGTGCCCCAGAGCCCACGGAGGGAGCAGGCGGCAGCCGGGTGAGGAGACACACTTGACTTCCTTTTCCAGACATCAGAAATGGGGGAACCCACCCGGGGAGAAGCCACGCAAGGCAGGGAGGAAGCGTGGAGTTTGGGGCTCTGGGCAGAGACCCCGAGGCAGGGCCTGAGTGGCTTTTGAGTCCATTGTAATGCCCCGCCCCCACTCCCGCCCCTCGGGTGACATGAGTTTTATTGCATGGAAGTTACACTTCAGTTCAGAAAACAAGCAAAGGGGGAAAATGCAGCAGCCCTCCTGTCTGTCCCACCCCTGGCCCTGACCTCCCACCCCTGCCCTCATCGCCAGCACAGTGGCCTCGAGCACAGGTCACACCTGACTCTTCCCTCTGGCTACCTTCCCAAGTCCACACGTGACCGCACAATCAGTGGGTCCGGGCTGCCGGTCACTCCTTGAGCCAGTTCAGCAGAGACAGGGTGGAATCCTACATGAGCGTTGATTTCAATCCTGCCAGGAGCGTGGGGGAGCAGTAGGGAACCCACAAAAATCTCCGGCCCGCTCACCCGTAAGCTGCCCATTTGGCATCACCCTTTGCCCGACTTCCCATGCAATCTTTGTCCTTCTACCCACCATCAGCAGCTTACGTCCCCAGCATTGTATTTCCGCCCCATCATCGGGAGGGTTGGCACATGGGTGTAAGGCACGCACATCAGCGGGTGGGGGCAAGGGGCTCCCCACCACAGTGCCCCCCGCCCTCCAGGCCTTCAGGACGTCTCAGCACTCTCCCTGTGCAGACGGCTTGCCTGCTGTGACCTATCCCAATGCTCAGCCATTCATGCCCCAGCCTGTGCTGGCTTTGTTTCTCTGAAAGTCTTTTGCCTTCTGGTCCTCTTATTTTCTGACATTCACACTTACTCATTCCATCGGGTTGTCAGCACCTGATGGCCTCCCTGTGGCTGTGAGCCCGGGGGTCATTCAGGTCACGGGGACATTGAGCTGGGACCTGGGCCGCCTTCTTCTGACAAGAGGGGCTGTGCCTAGTCCCCAGGCCCAGCCTCCCGGGGACAGGTGATTTCTTTGCCACTTTCTGGGCCCAGGGCTCCAGTAGCCAGGCCGCTGGAGTTGCCAGTCAACTAACTCCTATAAGCAGCTGACATCACCAGCCAGACTTCCTGGCACCACACGGTCTGGGCATTCCCCCGGTGACGGGGCTGCCTTCTCCTGTGGGCCCTAGAGAAAGGGAGAATAACAGAGGCCAGAGCCTTCCCTGGAACATCCATCTGCCAGCCAGGCCTGCCCCGCCCACTCCCCACGGGATGCAGGCGGATGGGGGCCGGCCACCCCCCTAGCTGACCCTGTACGGTCTGCCCCTCACCCATGACAGGGACAGTGCGAAGCCCCACCCTGGGTTACTCTCTGCTCTCTGGACCTTTACCTTTGACCTCCTCACTCCCCTCTCCTCAGGGCAGGCGTTCCTGCTCATCAGCGCTGGTCTGGTCCGCAGCAAGCTCTCCCCTCCCGGGCCTTTAAGAAGTCCTGTTCGTAATTCTCACGAGAGAGATCACGGCCTTCTTGGTGGGTAAGTGAGCCGTCTTCCCAGGCAGTCCATGATGAGTGCCTCTCTGAGCCAAGTTCAGGTCCTGTCGTTCCAGAAACATTACTGAGTATCTGTGATATTTAAGATATTATTCTAGCCCTGGCCGTTGTAGCTAAGTGGTTAGAGTGTCCTTGTACCAAAAGGTTATGGGTTCAATTCCTGGTCAAGGGCATGTACCTGGGTTGCAGGTTGGATCCCCGGCCCCAGTTGGGGTGCATGCAGGAGGTAACCAATCCATGTGTCTCTCTCACATCGATGTTTCTCTCTCTCTGTCTCTTCTCCGCCCTTCCACTCTCTCTAAGAATCAATGGAAAAAATATCCTCAGGTGAGGATTAACAACAACAACAAAAAAATAATATTCTAGACTCTGCAGATGTACATACATAGAGAACGTGGCCGTGGCCCATGCCTTTGAGAAGTTTATAATATGTTCATTTATTGTTCCTGGAGTAAAAAGAACAATATTAGAAGAAAGGGGAAACGGAGAGAGAAAAGTGACCGTATTGACCATCAAACACGGACAAGCATCACCCAATCAGCTTGTTCTAGGAAGGGGTGTGGTGACATGGTGACGAGTCCAGGAGGCTGGGTGCTGGCCATTGCAGTCCTCCCCGGACCTGCCCCAGGCTCCGCAAAGACAACGCCCCACCCTTTCGGGTCTGCTGAGGTCCCGTGTGAAGGTCCCTCAGATCTTCCTCTGCTGCTGGATTGGAGAAAGCGGTTCGCTGGGGGAGGAAGGGGTGGGTCCATGAGAGTCTGTGGTCTTCACTTCCTACTTTCTAAAACGGGCCGCTTCTGGCCATGAGAAGAGGGAGACCCAATTGTCACTTCTCCGGGGTCCCTTATGGTCCCACCATAGTGGGAAGAAGAAAAAGGTTCTTCCAGGAAACAGAGCCTTGGGGAAGAGGAAACCTCGTGAGGAGACCACACTCCTAAGCAGCCAAGTCTCCTCTAACGTGGATGGATGGGTGGATGGATGATGGATGGTTGGGTGGATGACTGAATGAATGAATGAGCGGATGGATGGATGGATGAGTGAATGAATGGGTGAGTAAATGAATGCGTGAGTGGGTGAATGAATGAATGAGCCAGTAAGTGAAGTGCTGCCTGCCATGCAGTGCAGGGGCTTGGGCTTGTGGCTCTCCACCCTCTCCCTGTGCACAAGGTCACTTCCTCATGGAGGAAATGGATGGCCCAGGGCCAGGAGGAGCGGGGAGGTTCCCAGGAGCCTCCTTCTCGGTTCTCCTTTGGCAAACCGCCACTTCCCACTGAGGGGCCTTGGGCAGGCTGTGGCCGGAGTAAGTGGTCATCGCATGGTCAGGGGGCAAAGGGCACCTGTGCTCATTACTGGGAAGTGAGAAAGCGTAGCTCCCATGTCAGAAGGAGGCAGGGCCGTTTCCTCCCAGGTGCTTCCCAGGGAGGTCTCAGGACAGCGCCCCTGGGAACCTGAGCCTGCAGGGGGCGCCAAAGCGGAGGGGACCAAGGGCACGGGGTTCTGCTGTTTGCCAGGGTTCAGTACAGTCACAGGGGGCGTCTCAGCTGTCACCCGCCAGGGGAGGGACGTTTGTCTTGCTACCAGCTGTAGGAGATAACCTATGCAAGCTTGGCCGCCTGACACTGTAAGAGCACTGGTGTGTGGCTTGTCACATCAGAGAAAGTAGGTCTGGAATGAAGGGTGCTATGGACTCCATGTTGGTGCCCCGCCGCCCCCCGCCCCCCAAACTCATATGTTAAAACCTAATCCCCAGTGTGATGCTATTTGGAGGTGGGGCCTTTGGAAGGTGATTAAGAGCCCTCGTGAGTGGAATCGGGGACCCTCATGACCGGGTTTAGGACCCCAGAAACGCCTCACCGCTTTGCCAAGTGAGGACAGTTTCTGCCTCCAGCTAGACCCTGAGCCCTGCAAAGCAGCCTGCACCTGGGGCCTGCCCGCACTCTAATCTCATCTCACGATCCTCTCACAGGCTCTCAGGGCAGCCTGCTGACCCACAGGATGAATGTACTATCTCACTCAAGGTCACACAGCTGCAAGGTCACCCACGGCTGTCACCTCCACTGCATGTGTTCCCTGCCCGGAGGAGGAAGTGGCGACTTAGGACTCCAGGGTGGAGTGGCTCCCGCATTTGCAAGCATTTTTCAATCTGGGAGGACAGGGAGCTGGAAACTATTTAAAGGGGGAGCCGAGGCCTGAAAGTCTTGGCTGGGTTGGAGGAAGGGAGAGAAATGTATCCTGTGCCCTCAGGACCCTCCCCAAGGGGGAGGCAAGGGCGTGTCCAGGACAGCGCAGCCCGAGCACCCTGCACACCGGCCTGAATGGCTGCTCCCGCCCTGGCCCCCAGCTCAGCCGTCCAAGGACACAGGCGAGCAGCCAGGCCAAAGCCAGGGGCCCGCGGCACCGTGGGCAGGACACCGCAGGACACCCAGCGCGTTGGAGAAGGCCCCGGAACACTCTTCCGCTCAAATCCGCTCCTCCAATTAGCGTGTTTACTCATGTAACACGGCTCAGTTCTGTTGACACTCAGTGAAACCACTGCCCGTGGCTCCCGTCCCCAGAAAGGTCGTGAGAGGATCGGCTGTTTCTGAGCTTTCCCGTGCGGGTGACTTTGCTGCCGGCCATGGCTTTTGTCACCGCCTGGCCTTTGCTCGCAGCCGGGGAGGCTGATGGGAACCTCAGCCCGGGGAGACTCGAGTGGAGGAAGAAGTTCTCGTGCCTTCCATCGCAAGCACCCAGGCTGTCTTCACGGTCGCCCGGTCCTCTCTCTTGGCCGAGGGCCCCGGATGAGCCCCCAGGAGCGATGCTCTCTGGGCACTGTCCGGCGTGGATGTGTGGCCAGAGCTGTCATAACCATCGGCTACACTCCCGGGGGGAGGGGGCCACTCGGAGGAGCTACAGGGGCAAACCCACCTGCAGCCCCTCACCGGGACTCCAGTGGCACCGGCCTACACCACTCTCAGCGGGACTTCTGGTTACTGAGCCCACAGCATCCTGAACACGACAGTTCCACGCATGTCTGTGCCCCCTTCAGCAGGTGGAAGGTCGTCCATGTGCATTTCGGCGGCTTCCCTCGTTCCTGTCGGACTCTGAATTGGACCCTGGTGGTCTGAGCACCACCACCACCACCATCCTAACGAGACTGCTATTCCTCTCTCTGTCTTCCTGTGGGCATCCCTCAGAGCAGACCCTACGACGAGGGTTTGGTTGTGGGTAATCTGTGAGGTGACTCCGGGAAGCACAGGGCAGGGGTGGAGAAGAAAGATGGGGAGGGAGGAAGGCCATGAATAGGGCTGACATGGGGTTCTCACTGCCAGCGATGGGCTCAAGCGGCTGGGTCCTGGAGAGATGAGGGAGCCAGGCTTCCAGTGAGGATGTACCCCCAGGCTCCCATGCCTGGGAGCTGCGAGGCCCCTGGGGGCATGAACTCCCCTGGCACTTATGGGCTGTGCCCGCAGGGGAGGGAGCAACTTCCCCAGGTGGCAGGAGAGGTGGACAGGCATCACAGCCTGCTCTCTGCACGATCACGGAAGCCTCAGTTTCCTGACCTGTAAAATGGGGCCAGTGGTACTCACATGCAGGGCTCATGCAGAGTAACAGCAAATGCACTTCCTGGCAGAAGAAGGGCTCTGCTAGTGCTGGCTTTGTAAGTGTGGCTCCTTACGCGAGGAACGTCATCTCGCCCAGTGCGGTGACTAGGGGTCTGCCTTCCTCCTGCCACCTGGGCTCCACTCCCCCTTCCTGCATCTGTATCTGTGGGCAGCCCAGGGCTCGGGGCAAGTCTGACTTGAACACCCTGAATGGCTGCTGGCCGAGGGCCCGGGGCACTGGTGGGGCCACGCCAGTCAGCCAGGCCAGGCTGGGTGCGTCCGCTCCGTGTCAGCGCGAGGACCCAGGCTGCTCACCTGTGCCTGCAGGCCATGCCACGTGGCCCTCCGGCCCAGCAGCCACCTGCTCGGGGCCGCAGGAGGCCCGGCACTCGACCTTTGCCTCTCAGCATCATTTTCCGTTCGGCTGCGTCCAGGCCAGGCCGGCGATGGGGGAGCCTTGTTCCAAGGCCTGTCATTGTTTCAGGATCAGGTCGCCTGAATCTCAAGAATCTCACAGAAACCAGAACTTCCTGAGTCACCAGCACCCACCCTGGGGCCTTGGATGGAGGATGGGTGCAGAGTGGGGTGGAGGCAGTGGCTCCCGTGCCCCCATGAGGCCCAGAATGCCTTAGCAGCGCCCTCTCTGCCCGCGGGAGCTGGGGTTTTGTAGCTCAGGACGAGTGCCAAGTTGGCCTGAGGGTCTGGCCCCTCGCCTGGGCCTTGCTCTGCCTGAGCCAAGTCCGAGGGGAAGGTTGCAGCCCCCCAGGAACGCACAGTGCGAAGCGGGGAGCTGAGAGGTGTGTGCGTCACCCTGCAGGCCCAGCCCTGCCTCCTCCTGGTCTCTCTGAACCCCACATGCTTGGTGGGGACCAGCCCTCAGTGCCCTCAGGCTGGGCAGGCCATGGAACAAGCATCCCTTGGCCCCTGGCCAGTGGCAGGCTCGATGGGGAGGTGGTTTTTAACAGCCTCCTGCCTATCGATTTCTGGGTGGTGCGGTCGACTCCAGCCCACTCCCCTGGAGGGAGGCTGGAAACCAATGCCGCTCTGTCCCATCTATTTCCTGCAGGCTTGCTGGAGTGTGACCAGCTCCCCGCTGGCTACGCGACCTTGGGCAAGTCACCTCCCTGTGGGCTCAGTGGATCCGAATCCGTGTCATCGGGCGATGCCAGGTACCGGAAGGGCCACTTTCCTCAGCGGCCTCCCTACACAGGTATGACCCAGCCTTTCCTGACTTGTCAGATAAGGATATTGAGGCTGTGGCAGCCGGTGACAAGACATGGGCGAGAGGCAGTTGTCCCACCCGAGGGAGCCGGGGACCAGGTTAATGTGGCATCAAAAGGCAGGACCGGCCTTAGCCGGTTTGACTTAGTGGAGAGAGCATCTGCCTACAGATGAAAGGGTCCCGGGTTCGATTCGGGTCAAGGGCACGTATCTTGGTTGCAGGCTCTTCCCCAGCCCAGGCCCTGGTAGGGGCTCATGCAGGAGGCAACCCATTGATGTGTTTCTCCCACATCGATGTTTCTCCCTGTCTCCCCCTCTCTCTTCCACTCTCCCTAAGAAATCAATGGAAAAATATCCTTGGGCGAAGGTTAAGAACAACAAAAGTCAGGATCAGAGTTTTCTCCAACAACCTACCCTGTACCCCACACTGAACCCCTAGAACCAATTTGGCCCCAAACAGCAGCTCCCCGGGAGGGTGGTGAGTGCCCGCTAGGTGCCAGCCCTCCAGCCGGTGCTAGGGAGACGGTTGCCAGCCCTCCTGTGGTCTGGGTCAAGCAGGGCTGACACACTGAGGTGGGGTCACCCTCCTGGGAAAGGTTAGGGAGGGGCCTGTGACCTCCCAGACATGAGGAGGAGGGGTCCCATGGGGGGCCCAGGATTCATCCTCAGGACCCAGCTAGGTGGGTATCACCCTCCTCTGCACAGTGTGCGTGGCAAGGGGGGCCCCGCCCGGCTCTCTGGGGTCCTTCTCTCTTTCCCCTAAGCCACCACATGGGCTAATAATAGAATTTTCTGGCCAGTTCCACCCTCTCAGGCGGCACCCCAGCAGGACGCTGCTGTCCCCTCCCCACGGTGAGGTGGAGAACAGTGAAAGGAAACAGGCTGCGATGGGGTGGGGACCTCCCTGCGCCCAGAAATCCCCTTGGCCTGGGAGGACGGAGCAGCAACGCCCAGCCCAGTGTGGGTGTGCGGCCTTCAGTGGCACCACGCCCTCCGCCCCCTGAGAGCTATTTCTGCCGCTTCCTGGCTCGGTTTCTCTCCCTCCGCCCCCACCTCTGTCTGGGTTAGACCAAGAGGCCACCCGCAGGGCAGATCCTAGCAAGGAGGGGGAGACCGCCTGCCCCCTGTGCCAGGTGAAGGGCAGCTTTAACCCCTGGGACTCCAGTTGAAATGGAAAATTTGGAAAATGAGAACAATCGTGGCTCAATCCACACCTGTCCCTGCCAAGCAGAACCTGCTGGTGCCCCCCGCCAGGCTTGGGGGGCTTCTGGTAACTCTTCCCATGGCAGGGACCCCGTGAGCTGTGGGGGCCGACAGCCGCGAGTCATCACTTTCTCTGGTTGGAGGGGTCAGGAGCCTGTGACCTGTAACAGCCTCCAACTTCCTTCCCTAGGGGGTCCAGGAAGGTACCCCGTTGCCAAGGGGCTAGGCCACAGCAGAGCCCTGTGGGCGCACTGACACAGCAGGTTCAGAGCTCCCAGCCCAGATGTGTCTCCTGTCTGCCACTGCCCCCGCTGTGCCCCATGGCGGCACCCTGCAGCTCCCAGGGGCCGAGCAAGGGAAGAGCAAGACTCATCACAGAGAGGTTCTGATTCTGGTCACACATTCAGAAATGACCTCTTTACCTTTCTTAATAAAGAGTTTCTATGTGGGCCATAAATAAGCCATCTTCTCAAAGTCCCCCTGGAGCCCTCGGATAGATAGGCTCAGGACCACTGTTCAAAGTCACACCCCCTCGCCCGGCCTCCGTGGCTCAGTGATTGAGCGTCGCCCTCTGAACCTGGAGGTCACGGTTCAATTCCTGGGCAGGGCACATGCCGGGGTTGCAGGCTCAGTTCCAAGTAGGGGGGGCGTGCACGAGGCAGCCCATCCATGATTCTCTCTCATCATTGATGTTTCTCTCTCTCTCCCTCTCCCTTCCTCTCTGAAATCAATAAAAAAATATATATATATTTTTTTATAAAATCACACCCTTCCGCACCTGTCTGGATTCGCTGCCTACCTCTCCTGCTTTATCTTTCTCCACAGCATTTATTGCCAGAACTGTACTCTGTGTTTTACTGATTTGTCTTGCTTTGCGTCTCTTCCCACCGCACCCCCAGCAGATAGGAAGCTCCATGAGGGAGTGACCAGGTCTGTTCTGTTTACTCTATATCATCACAGCCTAAACCAGTGATGGCGAACCTTTTGAGCTCGGCGAGTCAGCATTTTGAAAAACCCTAACTTAACTCTGGTGCCGTGTCACATAGAGAATTTTTTTGATATTTGCAACGATAGTAAAACAAAGACTTATATTTTTGATATTTATTTTATATATTTAAATGCCATTTAACAAAGAAAAATCAGCCACGCGTGTCATAGGTTTGCCATCACTGGCCTACACCGTGCCTGGCAGGCCATAGTCACTCGGTCAGTATTTCTGAATGAACCGAGAGCAACCTTCTCTCAGAAGAGAGGGACCCTGTCTCAGCAGGTTGGGAAGCGAAGATCCCAGGGTCCCCCTCCTGGTGGCAGCTTCCTGGCGTAGAATCACACCTACCCGCTTTCCTGGCCTCACCGCAGCCAGGAAGGCCGGGCTCCAAGTTGACCAGCAAGTCCTGGCTTCCCAGCGTCCACCGTGCTCTTCCCACGCCCCTCACCCTCACACTGAGGCCCGCAGACCGTCACCAGCAGCCGGTCAGACGTGCGAAGCCTCCAGCCCCACCCGGGGCCCGTGGACCAGAGGCTGAGCTCTTATTGTTACTTTTTGTTGTTGCTAATCCTCCCCCGAGGATATTTTTCCATTGATTTTTAGAGAGTGGGAGGGAGGGGGAGTGACAGAGAGAAACATCGCTGTGAGAGAGAGACATTGATTAGTTGCCTCCTGCACGCACCCAGACCGGGGCTGGGGAACAAGCCTGCAACCGAGGTCCGTGCCCTTGACCAGAATCAAACCCAGGACCCTTCAGTCCAAGGGCTCACGCTCTATCAACTGAACCACACCAGCTAGGGCTCAGAGTCTGCATTTTAACAAAATCCCGGTCCTAAAGTAAGTGTGGGTGGCCGGCCCACAAATGATCCCTTCTCCCAGGCTCAGGGAAATGCTTTGCTGAAACCATCTTGGTTTCTTTCTCTCTTCCTTTCCTCTGCAGCTCCTAAAGCAGCCAGCACGGGGCTGAGGGGGCCGGGCCTTCATGTTCCTGCGAGAACGGGAAACGGTGAAGGGCGAACCCAGCAATTAGCCTGGAAGAGTGGGGAGGCGAGGCAGGCTCTGGAGAGCCAGGGAAACAGCAGCTCTAATTGCGGGGTGTGCCAGCCTGGGGCCTAGTGTGCGCGGGGGAGGGGCATTGAGACAGCAGCCACCTCTGTGTG